GCTCAAACCCAAGCTGCTACCCATGACTCCCTTCCAGCCAGAGGCACTCATCACCTGCAACGGCCCCCACCCTAAGGTTACCAGCCAGTCAGCACCCATGCTGGGCTACCCTCAAGCTCCCCTTTTAACCAGCCCCTGCACCTGTCAACCAGATTGAGCCTGGAGACGAGGCAGAAACATGCCCAGGGGCTGCTGGCTGATGTAGTTGTCTCCAGGGCCTCTTGGTACCTTTGTAGAAGGGGAGGAGAGAGATGGAAATGGGGAGGGGAGTGATGGAGGAGGAAGAACAGGGAGGAAGCAGGGGCAGAAGGTCTGCAGCTATAAGTGGGTTTGCAGCCCAGCAGAGGCTGCCACCCACCCACGCCCCTCCTAGGCACTAGAAAAGCAGCCCCAAAGGAATGAAGATGGGAGGATATGAAGAAGCAGCTCTTAAATGGCCGCTCCTTCGTTGCAGGTCCCACTAGATGGCACCATGCACCCAGGATACAGGTGCTGGGCCCATGGGCGGGTCCTGAGGCCCTGAGAAGGGAAGAGGTTTGGAGGCCTGGCGCAGGTCAGAACAAGCCTTGCGGGAAGGCGCCTGGGGCCTTGGCCGGCTGGTCAGCAGTGGCAGCCCTGTGCGAGGGAGACGCTAGGACCTTCCTTGTCCACGGGGGCTGCCAGGACCTGTTCAGCCAGGCGGCACCTTGTCCTGGCCGTATGGCCACACCGCTGCACCTGGGCCCGTCGCTCACCCCCTGCCCAGAGGGACCGGGGTGCCAGGGCATGCTCTACCCGGAGCAGCTGGTAGCACAGAGCTCCAGCTCCCAGTCACGTAGGAGGCAGGGCGTGGGGCTGCGGGTGCCATGCTGTAGGCAGGTTGCTGACGACAAAGGGCTGCACGTCTAGGGTTTCTGCTAGGGAGGGATTTGCTAGGACCAGAACGAGACGGGGGTGGTTGCAGCACGAGGTGGCTAGCTCAGACCTCCCAGCAAGGACCCCTTGCTTTGCAGCTCTCACGCAGGATCAGTGCCAGTCACAGACTGTGGGTTTGTCTCCACTGCAAAAGTAACTCAGCTGTTGCCCCCAACCTCAGTCCTGTCCCCACACAAGCCCTTCAGCTCAAGCATTGTGGAAGCTTCATAAAACCCCTAAAACCTCTGGCTGAGTCTCCAGCTCTGCGTGAGGTGCTGGGGCCCAGCCAGTTTGGGAGCAGGTGGGCAGAAGCTACCCTAATTGCTAATGGACCCAAACCAGGGACAGAAGAACACTGATACAGGGGTCCTGGCCGGCTCCAGACCCAGGTGCTATCAATGAAAAGTGCAGGCAGCTGTGAAAAGCAGGTTTCTCCTGTCTCAAATTCTGGCACCCAGCCTCTAACCTGGAGACCACATCACTTTGCATTATTCTACACCATCACCTGGGGCAGAGTTAAGGCTGTGCCAGGGCCCTCACGACATATTTCGTCTCTTAATGCCTTTGGGTTTCTTTCAGTGACCTTAAAAGAAAAATGCCTAGCTTGGGAATAATTACAGCAGCCTGGTTATTCATTTACCCCAGCACAACTGGTATAGTCTAAGCATGACGGATCACTGGTGGACTTCCAGGCATTTCTGCAAAAGAGGTCACTGTCCTGATCACATCACAGATGGGGAAAATGAGGCAGGGAGGTATGCAGTGACAGGCCTGGGGTCACCTGGCAGGTGGGTGGTAGAGCTTAGGGTAGAACCCAGATCTTCAAGGCTGGTGGGGCAGGTGCAAGGATCCCCCTAAAAGGACCCTCCTACCAAAAGCATAATGTCTCCCCGCAGCAACAGGGGCTGGTCTCAGGGAAACATGTGGAGCTTCCACCTAGAGACAGATCGCTTAGAGCCGAATGCGACCTGGAGGCTTCTTTTGTGTCCGAGAGGCCCCTAAGACACGAGGGTTGGCACTTGTCTCCTTCCTTCCAACCGTGCTGCTCAGACCATTCAAAACTTGGTGGGACCCAGCACTGGAGACCTGCTGGGACCTCTCATCACCCAGCACCACAGGCACGGGTGAACTGGGCGGCTGCCCAGGGCCCAGACACAAAGGGGGCCTGAAAATGGTAATTTTCAGGGGGCCGATACTAAAAGTGCATCCAGGGCCACCAGGACTAAGTACAGTGCTGCCAGCAAACCTTCCCTGAGGCAAATGCTAGGCTCTGCACGATTTTCTGGGTTCCTCATTTCTGGGGGGTGGAGCGAGGCTCCCCCCGTCTTTCCAACAAAGAGCAAGGGAAGCCTGCGGGCACGGACACGCAGTAACCCTCGGAGCGCTTCGGCTTAAACACGAGGGGACAGACGAGCTCAAGCCGCGGAATGGGTCCAAAGCTCCTGGAAGGGTTGAAAAAAGGGTGCTGGGAAAATCTCGTGCTATTGCGAGCCGGTTTAGGGTCAGCGCTCCTGGCAGGGGTCGGGCCCTCCCTGCTGCAGCTGCCCAGCCAGAAGTCCCCTGGGCGCTTTGGCACGGGGCCCTGCTCTGCTGGGTCCATACAGCTGCGTCCTGACTCCCTGCCCCTCATCCCGGGCCGGCCGCCCCCACGCGTGCGGGGAAGGGGAAGGGAGGGACCCTCGGGGCGGGCGGGGAGCGGTGTGTGCGAACGTTCCACGGCAGTGACGTTTTGGAACGTTCCCATTGTGACGTGTCCGGCCCGCACCCCCGGGGATCCCCCGGGCGCGGGGCA